CATCATCATCATCAGCCTATCAGAGCCCACTGCTGAGCAAAATCCTCTTCTCACACGGAGAAGGTTTGAGCATTAATCACCACGCTTGCTCAAGACGCGTTGGTGATTTCAAACTTATAATTGTGGAACTATAAGTCCAGGTTTCCTCATGATGTTTTCCTTCACCGTATGTCAGTGATGTCTAAATACTCTCAGAAAGTACATATGACTCCGAAAAATCACATTGGTACTTGCCAAAGTTTGAACCCGCGCCCTCGGCAACAAGAGGCGGGCCCCTTAACCACTAGGCCACCACTGACTTACACCTTTTTTATAAACTAAATCGAAAAACCAAATACATATATGGGAGAATATACGCTATTTGAATTCCACTGGTCTATAGAAAATTTCATGTAAAACTTATTATATCATTGTCACTCTATGCTTAAACAATAAATAATATGGCATTTTATCTGGCCCACAAAGACAATAGTATTATTTAATTTATATTTTTAATAATATTTTAAAATATATACTCCTCTGTCCTTCCCAGTTATGAATTAAAATTAACTTATACTTTCAAAAAGTATAGAATTATGTTTTATATTTAATTTAATATATATATGTGTGTGTGTGTTTGTTTCTGTGTGTGTGTGCCTATAGTTTCCTACTCCTTCTCAACGTAATTTACGATAGCGCACACGTAAATTCTCTCACATAGTAGATATTTTTCGTCCATAAATACTGACGAAATTATAGCTTTGGTTCATAAACGTGAACTGAACACAGTTGGCTTACAATTAAACAGGATTAGAAATATTTTATAATTATTTATCATATTAAAAAGGGTTGTAATTGCAAAATATAATATAATCACAATCTTTTTTTATTTAAAAAGCAATGTAATAGTTTAATTGTAAAATTTATAAAGAAACATTGCATAATTATTATCAATTAAATGGAAAAATGACGTATCTTGTTCTTTACTATAGAAACAAATTAGGTTAACGTAATTTTAAAAGCAGCGATATTTCATCAATGCAATCGTCATAAAAATATGAAATGGTTTTAAAGTACTAAGTTAGTAATAAAAAATTAACAATTAAAAATATTTTATGAATTTGTGGCGAGAAAATATAAAATTATTGGTATATTAACTAGATTATATATCTCACTTTTACTCATAATAATAATAAAAGCAGTCGTTTATCGTAAAAATATGTATAAAATTATTATAATTTAGCAAATCATACTCACCATATACGATTCAGAATAAATTATGTTGTAAAATGTAACACACATTTGATATTTATTATAATTACACAGAAAAGGAAACCTTTATTCTATCCCTTTTCGAGGCAGAGCTCTCCTTGTCCTTTGCGATAGTCCGGGTTTTAAGGGAAATTATCACTTCACGTAGCATTTATGATGCTATTTAACACTCATTATGCATCTCTTATTCATCACGGATAACGTACTATTGTAGAGTGGATTTTTATTTTTTTTGGTGCGCTACCGTGATTTTGTCATGAAAAAAATCGATACGCACTCCCCATACGTCTATTTCAGCCCGGGCTCGGGCGGTAACTGCCTGACACATAAGTGCTGCCCTCTAAAATATATCGACGCGCGTGACAGATTACTAAATGCACTAAAGAGGTTGTATTAATTTATATTTTCAATTTAATAATTACGTTATCTTGTAATAAAGATTATGACTAAACGAATATTGTTTCTCTAATAATATATTATTATAACTTTTTATGATACAGTTTTCATTTCATACTCTTGACGAGGAAAATTTTAAAGCGGTATTTAGTAACTGGGAATGCTCTCCAAAGCACTTCTCCGCGGGCCAATTATCACAAGCTAAGCGCGTAATGATATACTATTTTCGTGGTTGACACTATTTTATTTGTCGCATTCAATATATTCAGTTTTAATTAATTATCAATGGAGCTTCTGTAATTATTTTTTCTATTCTATTCCAATAATATAAAACATTACTATATCCTGCGGCTTTGCTTGGATAATGATAATAATAAATTTAAGACTACCTTAACAATGACTGACTCTATCTCGTCGCTATATTAATTCTGAAATTCAATATACAATTGGTTTGCATATATAGAAAAATTAATTTTGTAAGACATCGTCATAAGCCTATCAGAGCTCAATGTTGAGCAAAAGGCATCTTTCTTACATGGAGAGCTGTGCTGTAACTAGGCTTTTATGCACCCGATGCGAGCTTTCAAAACTGCGCCCCTGAAAAATGCTCTAAAAATAAAATGGACAAATGTGCATACAAATAAATCGATCTATTTATTGTTTACCAAAGTAATAAAGTGTATAAGTATACAGCTACATTGCATGAGATACAACTAGATACTAGTCTGGTCATGTCTGCGCCCCTCCAGGGTCTGCGCCCTGTGCCTGGGCACTGCTGGCACCGCCCTAGTTACGGCACTGATGTAGAGACATTATTATTATAACCATATAAATAATTTTTGTTATACAAATATATATGATTATGTTAAAAAAATATATAAAATACGAGACGTAATCTCTCATCATTCAATGTATTCACGGTGCGTGTGTCGGGTCCGTCGTTGTAGTGAGAGGAGCTTCAACAGTGACTGGGACTTGTGACCCAGGTGTAGGTTTAAGGGACCCTATCTAACGCGCAGCTAACCTAAGTAGTTACAATAGTTTTATTGTACTTTTGTCTGTTAATTTTTACTTCTAATATCTATATTTAGTCAATTTGAGATGAATGTTTTAGGGTTCTTTGACCAACTGGTTAATAAAGATTGTTTTTTTTACCTTTATTGTATGAATATAGGGGCTAAGCGCCACTTTATTATCTAGTTATGTAAATGAAAATGTTATATGTATGAACTACCAATTAATATCGCGGTCTGAAAGACGTGTGTTCAGTGCGTCGAAAAAATATATAAACAAAATAAAGCATATACTACCTATTTTAAATAACTTAAATATTGCCGGTTTAAGTTGTGAAGCTAATTTATCTGAGGTGTCACACGAGTGCATACGAAAAATTAATTCAAATCGGTCCAGCCGTTTAGGAGTTCAGTGACAAACACGCGTACGGTAGAATTATATATATAAATATAAAATTATATTTTGTTTTATACCAAATAGGTATACTTTAAATAATGAGATCTGATTTTAATTAACACTTCTCAAATCGTAAAACAATAACACTGTCAAAAATCATCAAAAAAAGTCGTCCACTTAAAACTTACTTTGTGATATTTTCAGTGACAAAATGCAAGAGAAATATAATTAGTTTAATGTATAAACATCTTTAAATCCAGCTTTTTGCGTATTTTTGATGGCCCTTCATTATTAATTAGGTTATACACTAACTTCATTTAAAACTTTTTTAAGAGGTCATTAACCTTTACGTGTATACATTTCATAAATTTTTGATACAAACTTGACCATTTTAACGTTTCTCACTATCAAATCGTCGTATATAATTGTTTTAATGAAAATATTTCGTTAGAAAACCATTAAGCTTGGTCTAGATAGTAAACTTTTGTTATAACGAACTTTTAAGGGCTCACTCACACTGATGGCACCAATGGCCCAATTAAAACTCTATTGTTCTTATAACGTGTTACATAACTTGCTATTATTTATACACAAGATTAAATTTACAGTAGATTTTAGAGAAAACATTGTTTAAATTACTCATTTTCTTTTTTATAGACATACTAGCTGCGCCCCGCGGTGTTACCCGCGGATTTCCGGGATGTAAAGTAGCCTATGTGTTATTCCTGGACGTCAGCGTACGTATACAAAATTTTATCAAAATCGGTTCAGCCGTTTGAGCGTGAAGAAGTAATAAACATACACACACGCACAAACTTTCGCAATTATAATATTAGTAGGATGTCAAAAAATACATATGTCATAAAACAGGCGGGAAAATCTTTAAACAATTAAGGTATAAACCGGTAATAAATTTCTGACGATTTTTTGTTTGCTTTGTAATACATGTTAATATTTAACTTTCAATCAATATACTTCTGATTGTAGACTTCTATATTGATATTTAAAAAAATATGTGTCTAAAATATGCCAATTTGGAAATCTCATAAAAATTTTGTGGCATTATAAAAATTTATAGTATTCATTCGACAAACTCCTTATTTTATCCACACAGTAAGTACTTAACATTGTAATTCGTCCAATAAATAAAAACGTTGACATTGGCAGAATATTAAACGATTCCAGTGCGAATGAAGCCTTAGAATAAAAATACTTGCAGTTTTAATTAATATATGTGACTTTTAATAGTTTAATCTGTCTTTTATTTCGTAAATATTTCTTAAAAATGTATTAACTGTTTGAAAGGTAAAAAAAAGTTTATATTCGACTTCATGGCTGGTTTATAAAGTAGAAAACTGCATATTTGTTAAATATTGACTGTTAGAAGATTTTTAAATTCTTTGTATCCCCCACTCATGTAAATAATTTTTGTGGAGCACAAATTTTCTTTTAATTTCTAATCTATTAAAAATAAAGTCTGCACACATAATATATACATATATATATACTGAATTTAGACTAAATATAATCAAATTTTTAGGTTTTTGTATATATAAAACTAAAATAATATTTATTTTGATAATTTTATGACAAAAAAAAAATCAAAACCTGTTTTCAGTTGATAAATAAAAATAAGTTTTATTTTTATTTGTACAGCCATTACATTTATGAAAAAAATATTAGATCAAAATGATTTAAGGAATGTCTTCGCCCAATATCTTCTTATAAAGCACCTTCCTGTAGAAAAATATGTTTTTATAGAAATAAAAATATTAAAAAAATATATTCTTTCAAAACTGAGCTACCAAATCTATAGCTGCTTAGTCTGAAGTGGTATCATGAGTTATAACAATCAAAATTCATTATAAATAATAATTATTTTATTAAATTATAACAAAATAATACTTATAAACTATTAAAGAGTCTTTTCACAACACTTCACATCATACCATGTTGCGGCCATTGTCACCAGCTATTCGATCAACTATCTGCGAATAGAAAACCATACATTAGTTTATCAGGTACACTTTACAAGCCTGTAGAGAGGAAAATTATCTGAAAATTTACATATAATTAACAATTTATATTGTTATTATTATTTATTGTAATAAAACATTTATTAAACTCATTTAGAATATTTTTTATCAAATTTTTCATTTAAATTAAGTAATTTTCTATACTAGCTGACCCGGCAAAGGTTGTTTTGCCATATAAAATATTGGTTGGTGATATAAAAGTAAAAATTTAAGGTTTAATGTATTTTTAATGCTACATTATAAAAAAATAAAAACAATTATTTCAAACCAAATAAAATTAAGGGTGAACAACCATATATTTAGGAATATGAAAAATAGATAGTAGCCGATTTTTAAACCTACTAAATATAAAACTTGGTAAAAATCGGTAAAGCTTCTTAGGAGTACGGTAACTAATATTATGTTGTAGAAATTTTATATATTAGATAAGTTATAATTAATGTTAATTATTAACAACTCACCCCTCTTATTATTGGTAGACTCAATAATGAGCCAAGAACGGGCACCATTCTGAGGAAGTTGACAGCGGCTGGCAAGAAGCCTCTGTAATAAAAAGGTTTCGTAGTTATTGAAAGACAGACAAACATGTATATGTGTGTGTATTTAATATCTTGAAAATGTAATTTAATTTGACTTATGTATCATATTTTTTATACATATAATGCCGGGACTAAGAATCCCTACTAATATTATAAATGCGAAAGTAACTCTGTTTGTTTGTCACACTTTCAGGCCTAAACCACTGAACTGATTTTAATGAAATTTGGTACAGAGATAGAGTTGACCTTGAGAAAGAACATAGGATAGTTTTTATCCCAGACTTTTGAAAGGTTCTCTTGGAAACGCAATATAACCGAACTCCAAGCAAGCAAAGCTGCGGGCGGAAAGCTAGTAAATAATACTTGCGTGAAACCAAATTCTAATTTCATTTTATCTACTCATAATCATGGACAAAGGATGTATAGTATATGTATTATATGTATGTATTTTCACCTATACAGGGTGACTGGTGAATTACTATCAATATTTAAGGAGAATACTCGGTACATGATTCTCATTCGAATTATTAAAAAAAAATAGGCACTTAATTTTTGACAAAATTTCCGTATAAATAAATAAAGTGTTGACACGTTCCAAGTGTTCCAAGTGTGGACGCGTGCGGCGGCGTGCTGATACAACACCACGCCCCGCACGCGCGTGTGTGTGTGTGTGTGTATACCTAATCTGTAGGGTGTTCACACGATGCGTAATTAATTACATAACTTTTGGTTAACTTTACTTAGAAGTTTATTAATATTTATGTTATATTAATTTTTATTTTGTCATATATGATCGTCAAATATCACGTCCTCAAGTATCGATAGTAATACACCAGTCACCCTGTATATCTGTATTAATAAGTACAGAGAAAATAATTTTCAAATATCATACAGTTTAAGGAAATATAACATTTTTCCTTATTAAAATAATTAAACAAATTAATTATTATTTGAATTAAATATTTGGGTAAATAGGTGTAGTTCAAAATTTTATTAAAACACAATAGCTCAGTTGAAAAAGCAACCAATAGTTACACTTTTTAACTACTTGTTTGAATCTTGCTTGTATCAAAAATAATATATTGTACATATACAATATATTATCTGGGTCATAACCCAGATGTTCTTTAAAACTATGTGTAAATAACTATGAAAACACCATCAAAATCTGTCCATCACTCACCTAAACAGCAATAGGAATCCATACATTTCAGCTATCATGCCTATCATCGGCCAACCAAGTAACACAATACTGATGCCACCGAAGAATGCAACCGATGCCTTCACTTTGTGCCGTTGGAAGAAGAAGAAGAATGTCCTCTGTAGACCAATCACACAAGCCAGGCCGCTGATGAAGAGAATCTGGAATAAATGTGGTAGATTTATACTTCTATGAGAACATATGAAGAAAAAAACATATATCTATATAGTAGGGAACCCGGCAAACATTGTTTTACCATATAAAATAATAGAGTTGTATGTATTTAATAAAGTCACATTTTGAAACAAATAATTCGGTCCGAAAATAAAAAATATTAATCATCATCATCATCATCAGTCTATCAGAGCCCACTGCTGAGCAAAGGTCTCTTCTCACATGGAGAAGGTTTGAGCATTAATCACCACACTCGCTCAAGACGGGTTGGTGATTTCAAATTTATAATTTGATATGAGTCCAGGTTTCCTCACAATGTTTTCCTTCATCAGTCAGTGGTGTCTAAATAATATTATAAAGTGCATATGACTTGGAAAAATCACATTGGTACTTGCCCGGGTCAGAATATATGAATATATAACTCTGAGAATATATGAAGAAAAAAATATTAAAATATATCGTCGTATAGTGCATATCTTCGTAACTAGCATTGTATAATTCCACGTATCTACATTGGAAGCAGATCAGAAGAAAGTTTGAGCTGAAATATTTTCGATATTAATGACTTTCAATTTTTTTTTTATACAATCCTACTAATATTATAATTGCGAAAGTTTGTGTGTGTGTGTATATTTGTTACTTCTTCACGATCAAACGGCTGAACGGATTTTGATAAAATTTTGTATGGAAATAAGGAAGCTGACGTCTAGGAATAACACATAGGCTACCTTACATCCCGGAAATCTCGGAAATCCGCGGGTAACACCGCGGGGCGCGGTTAGTTAGTAATAAAATAATTAATCAATAAATAATACTCACATTACCAATCGCTAGCAGACCTTTATCGAAAAGCAGCAATACACCGAGGAAAAGGAATGTCATGCCGAACCCAGCCAGGCCGACCCCGATTTCTAAAAGATTAATAGAACCAGATTAATTATAGCTAGAATAGCATATATATAAGCCACTGTGCATATAAACCAGCTTGTTTTTTTATTATATTAGCTACTTAAAAATATACTTATAAAGACGGAGTATATTTAATATATTTGTTGCAGGTTCGTAGAAGTATACATATAGCTTATACTTTAAAAAGTTCATATATATATATATATATAAAGAATACACAGTATCAAAAATGTTAATATTATGAGTTACAACTTGCAAGTATTCATTTAAATGAAACTAATATTTTTCAGATACACTACACATGCTCAGCTACTTTTCAGATAACAAAACATCGATAGTATGTAGTTTTTTATGAAAATAATGCACCCATAGTATATCCAAAACAATATGTTTCGATTTTAATAAACTTGTTCACCCAAAGCGAGCTTAGTCCAACTAAGTTTATTAATATCAGAAATTAAATACAATATTAAACTTAATTAACTTAATAAATCAGTTCTAGAGGAATATCTGCGGTTCTTTTGCATCTATGTTTAGAATTTTATGAGAAGTATCTTCAAAGAAAGATTTGTATAAAGCTGATTGTGTTAAAAATATATAATATAATATTATAATTTATAATAGATTTAAAAGATATATTTATTGAATATAAACTTTTCGTGTCATGTTTTAAATTATAACATATATTGATATACCTTATCAGACATATATATTACACAAAAATAAATTTACTTACAAAATTAAAAGTATGCAAAATAATATTAGAGATATTTATGTTAATTAATTATGAACCAGTATGTTTATAAGAATTTAGATTATAGAAAATATTATTCCAATTCAGAAAATAAGTTATAAAAACCTTTTATCTACAAAGTGACCAATGAATTGCATTATTTGAATTTAGTTTAAATATAATGGAAAATTCGTTTTGATAAATGTATATTTAGGCATGATATCTATTAATAGGTTAAACTTTTTAATTTTATACACATTTAATATGCTTAGAAAAGCAAAAACTTTATCCTGGGCTAGTGTTGTTAAGCATCATTGAGGGTGATAGACTTTCGTAGTATGTTGAGTTTACAGAGGCAATTTAATAATTTAAATTGATTTTCATATATAATAGACACAATTACAATCAATGAACTTATCTTAAATCGTCCCCTAATTGATAAATTATGAGTTTGATCGAATAATTTATGAAATTTTTTTGAAGTAATTCTAGTTGTACATGAATAAATTAACTTACTTTGTGTGTCTGTTATTTCAATCATCTTGAAGTTTTATTATTATAAATAAGATATTTGTAGTCTATTTAGCTAAAAACATTTGTAAATACCAATTAAACAAACTTATAACCAAACCACGTCATTTTCGCTATCGCATATTAAAACTGTCAGCCGCCAGGAATCAGGATATGAATTTTTGGAATGTCAATGAATTGTATAAATGATTATATCTTGGTAAATATTATTTTTCAATTATATTATAGTAATAATATTGAACAAAGCGCATTTTTTATATTTGCTTTACCAATTTGATTTTTATAAAAAAACACATTGAGATAGATGTATATTTAATCATCTGTGAAATATTTTTAATCTATGCACCCAAACGTCAAAACATATCGATTTCTAGCATGGCGTCCTGACAATTAGCGAATATCGTTAAATAATTGCGGAAAATACCACGTTTTCGCTATCGGATGTATATAAAAAGTGTGTGCGAACTGTTTATTTTTTCGTTTACTATTAATTAGTTTTAAGCTTAGATCACGGGGGGTGTAAAATCACTTGAAGTGTGTGCAAAGTATGGTGCGTGGTGCTAGCAGAGGCGGTCGCGGTATGCCGGGAAGAGCTGGTATGGGCCGCCCGCCCTTTAATAGACCTCGCGTTTTAATGCTGAGGCCTCCTTTCGACTTGATACTAGCTGAACCAGCATTCCCCAGATGCAAACCAGCGCCTGACGACTCAGCGTTAACACAAGTAAGCTATTACTGTTATTTGAGTGAAAAACTTCCAATGTAGGCCATTTGCTTTTTTGTTTTGTTGTATACAAATATTATTTGAACGAAATTATCTTCGTAAATTGTCTGAATCAGGTTTAGGATATAAAAAGAAGCTTGTAGCTGGTATATTTGGGCTTTTAGTTGTTAAATATTTCGCGAGTAACTGAAATCTTTATTATGATGTCTTAAAAGTCTGAATTATAAAAGTTCGCGTCTATTATTATCAAATAAATATTTTTTTAGCCCCAATATATTTAACTAAATACTAATTCAGTTATTTAAAAAACCGTTTTTACATTCGAAAGCAAAAACTTTCACGTTCCATTAATTTTAAAGAATTATTGAATTTAAGACTTACGTTCAGTGATATTTCTCGATAATAATATCTATACTTCTATACTAATAAATAAAAATGAAGTGTCCGTTTGCATTTTAATATTTTCAATATATAAATATAACTAAAAATACGAAACGAAAACGAAAGTATGTACGATCTCTTTATTTAAATACAATTTACAATATTTTTGTCTGTCTGTTTGTTCCAACTAATCTTTCATACGTCTGGACCGATTTTGTCGTAATTCACTTTGTATGTAGTTAATATTATAAGAAATAACTTACATTAAATTAAATTGACTTTAAAAAACGAAGTTTACAATTCGACTGTAACTTTGATATTACTCTTTCAGGTTATGAGGATTTTTTTTACGTTTATATTTTCTAATGTAATATTATTCTGAGGTAGTTCTAGTATAAAAGAATCAGGATTTGATGAAGGAATTACAGAAATTGAATTAAAACTCGTAATTATTATGACTTTTATATCGAAAATTATATGTTTAATTGCAGAAACCACAGACAATTACTACAATATATATTGTATTAATGTTTAATAATAATAATGTTCACCAGGCTCTCCTAAAGAGGCATGCTGAGTTATGTCCGACCCCAGCGGAACAGTCGGCCGTACTCAGCCTCGTCACCAAGCTACAGACAGTATTGGATAACTTGGTTGTAGCTCCCGGAGACTTTGCAGCATGTGTGAGTAATTAATTACTTTTTTAGGTGGTAGAGCCTAGCTGTGGTCAAGTTACTACAGCTCAAACATGGTCTGTCTCGACCGGGGAAGTACCACCCTCTCACAGAAGATCGGTGTGAAGTAGCATTTAATGGCTGCCTTTCGTCAGATGAGTGAGAGAGCCGATTGCCCTTTTCCTATTTCCCACCCTTTCCTACCATTTCCTTATTCCCACCCCTCCCTAATCCTAAAAAACAAAGGTTGGCAACGCATCCGCAACAAACATGTTGCGGATGTCCATGGGCGTCTGCTTGTTTGCCACCTTTGACCTAAAAAAAAAAACATTTAATTAGGTAGAATGAGGAGTCTTTCTTGAGTTAAATACTTATTCTGATAAACATTTTTTATTTGATCCTTTAATACTTTGTTATAAAGTATATTTTGCTCTGTTTCACAGCAATTGGAGGAGGTGAGACAAGTCGGTTCATACAAGAAGGGAACTATGATGGCCGGGAAGAATTTGGCTGATATAGTGGTGATAATGAAAACATTACCCACTAAAGAAGCAGTAGAGGGCTTGTCTAATAAGGTAAGTCCTATCAATAAAATCTTATATATAAAATTCTCATGTCATGGTGTTAGACAGAGAACTCTTCTAAAACGGTTGGACCGATTTTGATGAAATTTTGTGAGCATATTGAGTAAATCTGAGAATTGGCTAACATTTATTTTCCATACCCCTAAGTCATTGTTGTTCACCCTTAATAATTTTTATTTTCAGACGAAATTTTTTGTTTCTATTTTTTTATAATGTTACATTAAAAAATACGTACAACCCAAAATTTTTACTTTTTTATCACCAACTCCTATTTTTTTATATGGCAAAACAGCGTATGTCTAGACATTAAAAAAGGGGTGTGTGTGTTTGTGTTTGTTGCTCTCTACAATAGAAACAATTTTACAGATTTTGATGAAACTTTGCAATAGCGTAGTTTATACATTAGAATAGGAAGTAAGTTATAATTTATCCCGGAATTATGTCTAATTCTCGTGGAAATGTAAGAGTGTTGCATTAGTTATAGTAATGTTACACTGTTGATAGATATCGCTGATGGTTAAAATGTCTTTCCTTTCGACATATGTACTTTAAAAACTAATCTCTGCAGTAAATTCTGAAGTCCACATGAACGAAGTCACCGGTAAAACTTAGTATAAGCAATATTTATGTAATATTTCTTTCAAAAATGTAAATTCTACTAAAAATAAATGTGACATCTATATCAGTAGTTAAAAAACTAAGTCTCTTTATTTATTTGTATATGAATATATTATATATATGAGTATATTATAATGTATATGAGTATATTATAACATTTATTATAATTATCTTAATCAGTATTCAAATATCATAATCATCAGCCTATCAGAGCCCACTGCTGTAAGGCCACTTTCTCACATGGAGAAGGTTAGAGCATTATTCACCATGCTCGCTCTAAACGGATTGGTGATTACAAACATATAATTGTGAAATTATAAGTCCAGGTTTCCTCACAATGTTTTTCTTTACTGTCTATCAGTTGTGTCTTAAATCTAAATACTCTTAGAAATAACTTATGACTCGGAAAAATCACATTGGTACTTGCCAGGATCGAACCCACGCCCTCATGCATGAGAGGCGGGCCCTTTCTCCATTCGGCCACCACTGACTTAATATAATATATATTTAAAACTCATTGATGCAAGCAAGATTCGGAACTATGACTACACAATCACATAACCAGACCATAATCCAGGTGTTATTAAAGGCAGAATTAAATGCAGGTCTAAATTCCAGGTCACTGAAGAATTGAACAAACTCATGAGGGCCGAAGGGCTCGGAAATGTTACCAGCACCTGCCACGAGAGGGGCTTCACTGTTAGTACGGGGGCTGCAGCTGTTAGGGGTTTGGTTACCACGCTGCACCAGAATCTGAGAAAGCTGGAACCAGATGTAAGTGGCTTGGAAATGATAGAACTGGAATGATTCCAGGTCGCTCAAGAATTTTTCATTTGTTATTATTCAATAATTCCATTCCATGATAACTTTTAATTGAAACAACACTTAGCTAAAAATGTAATTACCTTTATTTTAAAACTTCTAAATGGTGTATGTTTTGTAAGTTGTTCTTATAAATAAATAAATAATCAATTGTAATAATTGGTTTCAATAACTTTTTAAAGAACTTTGTTGGAATGGAATTTGATATTTTAAAAAAGTATGAATAGTATTTAAAATTTATATATACAGGGTGACTGGTGAATTACTATCGATACTTGAGGACGTGATATTTGACGATCATATATGACAAAATAAAAATTAATGTAACATAAATATTAATAAACTTCTAAGTAAAGTTAACCAAAAGTTATGTAATTAATTACGCATCGTGTGAACACCCTACAGATTAGGTATACACACACACACACGTGCGGCGTGGTGTTGTATCAGCACGCCGCCGTACGCGTCCACACTTGGAACACTTGGAACGTGTCCACACTTTATTTATTTATACGGAAATTTGGTCAAAAATTAAGTACCTATTTTTCTTACATAATTCGAATGAGAATCATGTATCGAGTATTCTCCTTAAATATTGATAGTAATTCACCAGTCACCCTGTATATTAATAATGATTTTATTTCAAAACTACATATATGTTTTTAGTTTATCAGTACGAATATGTAGTAATAAAACAGTGATTTAAAAAGTAACAAGTGGAATTTGCTTAAAATTTAGTTTTTTTTATTTCATATAGTAGAAGTAAATTTTAATCTGGAATCTGAAATATTTCCAGGTGCACCTTGATTATAAGATCATCAGCAGTCACCTGGCAGCTATACGACACAGCAGGTGGTTTGAAGAAAATGCTCATCATTCTTCTATAAAGGTAACTCAAGAAATTCAATCGGTCCCACTTTCTAATACTATTTTTTTCATGATTAATATCTTATTTAAAAATATATTTTAATTATACAGTTAATTATATAATTTTTATAAATTATAAGTAAACTAGCTTTCCGCCCGCAGCTTCGCTCGCGTGGAGTTCGGTTATATCGCGTTTTCCAAGAGAACCTTTCAAAAGTCTGGGATAAAAACTATCCTATGTTCTTTCTCAAGGCCAACTCTATCTCTGTACCAAATTTCATTAAAATCAGTTCAGTGGTTTAGGCGTGAAAGTGTAACAGACAGACAGACAGAGTTACTTTCGCATTTATAATATTAGTAGGGATTTTGTCACTGGAATTATATATTGTAGTATTCAATAAAATTATATTAAACTCATAATATATGTATTGTGATAAGCATCAAGACTGAATGACAAAACCTAATACAATAAAATGATTTACCTACATTACACTTGACATCAAAATTATTTAATAGCATTAATTATATAGGGTGGCAACTGGACGTTCCAGGAAAACTACGAAACATACTTACATGTATATTATAATGAATTACATATTAAAACTTATAAGCTACACCTAAGACTACATTACATTATAAGCTACACCTAAGACTTTACATTATAACCTACACCTAAGACTACATGATTGACCCGATGTTATGATAGCAATACCATTCCATAGCTTGTGTGTATCAGGAATCTTCTGGTTCACACGCTTGGTGTTCGTTCCGCGGAGTCAGCGGCGTCAAGAGTTATATATTTTATCCATACAACGATGTCGCCCCGGCGATGTTCATTTATTTTTTAATATTCTCCGCTAACCACTATACTAGCTGTATAACTCTGCCTCTAAGTGTTGTTAATTCAAAATCTCTAAATATATTTAAAAAACGATTAAGAACCCATATATTAGAAGATTTCATTGATCTTGTTTAATATCACTACTGTTTATTATTTGTAATTTTAATTGTAGTTATAGTTTTTGAAATTACCTTTGTAAGTGAACTCTGTTCTTTTAGGAAATAAACTTCTTTAAACCTATAAAACTAACCAGCTATATACATAATGTATATAGATTATTCATATATTGTACTTCTAGAATGTTCTATATTTTTCCAGGTGTTGATCAGACTCCTGCGGGACATGTGTGCTCGTCATGCAGGTCTTGAGCCCCTGTCTCCGTGGATGGTGGATCTCCTCGCTCATCATTGCATCATGAACAACCCCGCTAGACAGGCACTCCCTATTAATGTGGCTTTTAGGTAATATATACATGATATTGATGGCTCCTATGTATAAGGTTTAATGTAGCAATTTAGCCGTTTTCATTTTTTTGCTTGAAACACAACATACATTTAAAAAAATGAGCATGTTTTGGTAGAATGACTTTTTACTGCAGTAAAAAGCATAAATAACACACTTTTTAACGTATAAGGTATTATTATATAATGTATATTATAAAAAGTATATATATATTTAAAGAACTAGTAGGTTAATAAAAAAGTTTATCAATCTTAAATGACGTAAATGTATATCATAGTTGCTATACAAAGTTTCAAAAGCATCAGTTGTATGTACAAGATATATTAAAATCAAACTTAAAACGCCTCTACTGAACAATTGTGTTTTGCACATTAGCCCTTATACATAACAACCATCGATATATTAGTATATGTACTAGTTATTGTCAAAGTCGTGGTGGCCTAGAGTTTAAAGGCCTGCCACTCATGCATGAGGGCGCGGGTTCGAAACCTGGCAAGTACCAATGTGATTTTTTAGTCATAATATGTACTTTATAAGACTATTTAGACATCACTGACTAATTAATTATGAAGGAAAACATCGTAAGGAAACCTGGACTTATATCAAATTATAAGTTTGAAATCACCAACCCGTCTTGAGCAAGCGTGGTGATTAATGCTCAAACCTTCTCCATGTGAGAAGAGGCTATGCTCAGCAGTGGGCTCTGATAGGCTGATGATGAATGACTAGTTATTTTCCTATGTTTTGTACCCTTGTATTATATGTTTATTACAGAAATTAATGTATGAGTTCATATAATATACGTTGTACAACAGTCAGCGCCATCTACCGTCATTATCGCGTTACGTTACATCTGAATTGCATTATAGGAAAGTTTCATCGAAATTTGTTCAGTATATCTTCCATAGACAAGTAACGACCATACATACATACTAAATTTGTTATTGATTATATTATATTCATATTAAAATATCTATTTGTCCTTCCAGGCGAGCTCTCTCCTTACTAGCTGGAGGTCTGTTCCTACCAGGATGCGCTGGCCTCCCTGATCCATGTGAGGCAGCACACTCTAGAGCTCACACAGCGCTGGACCTAGCAGCACAGGATCACGCTGCTGCGACAGCACAGACGTGAGGAACAAAAATATTAGTTTAGAATATGAACATACGAATATACAAACTGAATCTATGACATTAGATGTAAAAACAAGTTAGTCAGTTTTAGTCTTCAAATGACATCATTCACATAATTATATAATGAGATGTAAAATTATCGCGATTTTTATTCAATTGAATGAAACTACAAATTTTCGGATATATCTACTACGCGACTTTATTTTTGATAAAAACTACATACTCCCGACGTTTCGGTTTCTTTACAGCAGATATTAAATGAATTGAATGTGAATTCAATAATATTAGTTTTATTTAAATGCACAAAATTATAATTGAGAAATAATATACCTACACTATATATATAAAATTTCCATAATTGTGGTTTTTGAGTAATGTTGTGATTATAATTCTGTTTTTCTTCCAGTCTTCTCCGAGTGGTGGCTCGAGGTGGTCATCGCTACGTGCTAGGGCTGCAGGCTTTCGAGGGTGGTAAAGATATTAGTACTGAGATCACCGTGTGGGATGGAGTGGTTGTGTCACCCCTAGCGCCCGCCTACCACGACACTCCCGAACCAATGGATACAGACGATAAAGCTGATGGAGGATCCTTCTGTGATGGTAGGGGGGATTTATAAACAAAAATATTACTATATCACATCAATACTACTATTATAAATGCGAAAGTAACTCTGTCTGTCTATTATGCTTTCACGCCTAAACCACTGAACTGATTTTAATGAATGGTACAGAGATAGAGTTGACCTTGAGAAAGAACATAGGATAGTTGTTATCTCAGACTTTTGAAAGGTTCTCTTAGAAACGCGATATAACTGAACAACACGCGGGCGGAGCTGCGGGCGGAAAGATAGTTTATATATATAAGTCGTGTTAGTTACACTATTTATAACTCAAGAACGACTGTACGGATATGGATGAAAATTGGTGGAGAGATAGATTAGAACAGAAAGGACATAGGATACATTTCATCCAATAGAAGGAAAAATAAATAATAAGTTGATCAAATTTCAAAATTATCTTATCTATTGTCTTTAAGGAATAGAGTTCGCCCGGTCAGTTATACATTTCTAATTCTGAAACTAACGCAGACGAAGTCGCGGCCAAAAATAGTTATATATATAATTCTTCATAAATCACATTCCTTTTAAATATAGTTATTTACCTCTTTGATAAAATAATAAATAAATATTATTTCATTTACAGACGAGGAAGGAGTCCAGGACGGTGTTGCCGCTTGACATATAAATAAATATATAATGTAAAAATTATTGACAGTTTTATTTAAATAAAATTTTTAATTATATTGTTTTTAATATTCTTATGTGGAAATAATTAAAATCTAGATCTATATATATTAGAATTCTACTAATTACTAATTTTCTTTTGAATATTAGCGGTAGTGTGATAACTACAAATTTACTGTCACTACTTACGTAGCATTAATAGTTGTTCATTAATCTTCATACATCTTCTTCCTGACAATTTCCCAGCTTTAGCCAGGGTCTGCCTTACATGTTGCAATAGTTTTGGCTAATTGTTTCTACAACCGGCCGCCTGCCTGACATCAACCCTCTTTGGGAATGCATTAATCAGTGATGTCTAAATACTCTTATAAAGTACACATGACTCGGAAAAATCACATTGGTACTTGCATGGATCGAACCCGCGCCCTCATATAGGAGAGGCGGGCCTTTTAACCACAAGGCCACAACTGACTAAATCTTCATACATTATAGTGTCAGTTTAGTATGGAATGAGAAACGGGAAACTTCGTAGTATGTAGTCTGCTATAAAAACTTATGGTAAGCATATTGTATTGAGCTCGAGAGACAAAAAACATTTATTGTATGCATGAGATATTAATGTATGTATACTTATTATCAGGATTGCTTCATTGAGTGGTAATTATAATTTTAAATTAAGTTGAATATATAACCAAGAAAAATTCCATCTTTATAGGTAAAGTAATAGGAAAAATACTGAAAAATATTTTACAATACCTAAATGTACATATAATATAATATATGTATATGGGGATACCATAAGACAGAAATCATATAAAATTCGTTTTTCATTTTGTTATAGTGCATTTAATTTAAGCTGAGCTTTGCATGTGTGTGTGTACACGGATAGTGTAGGTGAGATGTAAAATTTCTGAATGCTATGTTCTTTTCTATGTTTAAACCGGTTTATTCTGCTTTTACTCCGCCCCGCACCTTCCTCACTTCACCCTTTGTAATGGTAGCAACGTCAAATGTTGATAAAGAAATGTCAAGTGACGAAATTTTTTTATTGTTTTTCAAATTTTTATTATGTACTTCATAAGAAAAAAATCCATAATATTTCCATATGGCCTTTAACAAGTTTTGCTTGTTTTACTTTCAATTTAGAATAGCTCAAGCACTTATATTATGTATCTATTTAAAATATAATAAAATGTAATTCTAATTGTTTTTTGTCTAACTCTACTTTTACTTTCACTCACACGAATGCAAAGCTCAGCTTAAGTCTAACGGACTATACTCAAACTTTGTGTTTACGCATTTTTGTGTTTTAGAGCCCAAAGATCTTAAAAAATAAACATTTATTTTTCAATATAATTTTTATTCTATAAATTATAAAAAAATATGGGATATATTCTGTATTACAACCTACTACCTAGCGTAGGTTTCATTTCTTTATACTAATTGGATTCAAAGATATCATATTCAATTAATAGTATGAATAAATACACAATCACATGTAAAACTAAAGATAAAAGACAAATCTTTAAAAATAAAATTCTCGTATCGAGACAGAATTTCTCCAAATTGGCTGGACCGATTTTAATGAAATTTTGTGAGCATATTGAGTAGCTCTGAGAATCGGGCAACTTCTAATTTTCATACCCCTAAGTCATAAGGGTTCACCCTTAGATTGTTTTTGTTAATTTTCGGACGAAAATTTCTATTTTTTTTTATAATGTAGCATTAAAAATACATACAATTTAAAATTGTTACTTTTTTATCACGAACCCCTTTTTTATTTGGCAAAACAACGTTTGTCGGGTCAGCTAGTATATATATAAATATAGATTTCATACAATTAGAATATGTGCAACCATAAGCCTTTAACGAGTGATGCACAAGAAATTTGTATATATTTTAATTCACAATTTGAACTTTATACTTAAAACTAAACTTAATATATAGGAACTAGATGGTACAAAATAAGTTAGAACACCTATATTAAAAATGCAAAAAACCTGTAAAGTAAGTAATTATTCAGTCTTGCTGAAGCCCCAAGAATCAGTTCCGTCTCCAGTTCTTTTTGACCTTGATCTTATCACTTCGTCAGGAATAGTTTTTCGATCGTACGCCCATCCTAGCCAAGCGAAGAAGTCAATGAACTTTGTTGTTAAATTTAGGTAATTGTTCCCCAACTCCGCTGTCCTATAATCCCATGGGAACACGTGGTGGTAATTATGGAATCCTTCGCCGAAAGCCGCAAATGATACGAATAGGTTCTGCGCTGGTTTTATATGTTCTTCGTAGGGTTTGTTGCCGAATAGGTGTGCAGCGCTGTTCACGAGGAATGTGCCGTTTAAATTAATTATGTATCTGAGGATTGTGAGGTGCCAAGCAGTCCAGAGGCTTTCTCCAAAGAAATACATCGGTATGATTGTGGGTAGGACGAAGGTTATTGTACCTATGAAGGGTACAGCGTACCTGGAAGAAGAATAAAGATGAGGTTTCGCTAGATCACCAATTACTGTTGGGATGACTTTAACTAGGATAATCTTCGTCCTGGCAATTTTCCAGCTTTAGCCAGGGCCTGCCTAACATGTTGTGAATAGTTTCGGCTAATTGTTTTTACGACCGGCCGCCTGCCTGACATCAACCCTCTTTGGGAATAGGATAAAACTTTAACTAGGATAATATGCAGAATTGGGTTTTTGAATTATTTTTTTTTTTGTGATAAATGGAAAGATCATATATAAGTTTTATAACAAAACTATTTTTATTTTATTTTTTTTTGCAATATTTAAAAAGTTATTTCAAAATAAAAATTAAATTTTAAATTCAGTACCGAAAACAAGCCGACAGCTCGGGAATAAACCCGAGCGCGTGTGACGTCACAATGTTAGTTTTTGCTCATTGTAGCATACAGAGATATAATAATTAGTACAGTGTTTTGAGTTTTTATCTAGTAAATTCTGTTGGCATTGTTAAATAATCAAAAGTTTTGTACCATTATGTACAAAGACTACAAAAACAACTCCTGAAAAAATGTTTTTAAATGTTCCACAAGACGAAAAACGTCGAAAGAAATGGTTTCAAGCAGTGCATCGAGATTATTCAAAAACAAAATCATTTTTTTTTTGTTGTGAAGATCATTTCGTTGTAAGTATTCATAATAGTATTGTTATTAATTATTATTTATCTAAGTGTATAAATCGAATAAGTATAGTTCAATAATTAATTTTTTTACCTGGGCTCCAAATCATAACCTTTAGAATCGTAGCATTAAAAAATTTTAATTGATAATTCAAAGCGATTAAATAGTAAATCTATATGTATGTTTGTCTAATAATTGGACTTCAATTAATAGATATTTTCATAATTTTATAACATTCTAGGTTCTGTATCAGACTACATTTAAATTTTTAAAGTACATATATGTTATTTTGGTTTTTTTATAATGTTATAATAACATTTTATTAATAATGATTTAATGAAATAATTATTAATTATATTTAATAGAGAATAAATACTTATTTTCATTTAGAATATTATTTTTTAACAGACTTACCTTGATGCCTTATCACCTCGAACTTCAGCAGAATTAAACCGAACGTCATTTTTTAAAAAATTAGTTATCATAAATATATCAACATCAGGAATATTATCCGATTTTGCTTTTATAAATCCTTTATCACACATAGTCGAAATAAACTTTTCAAATCGTTTTTCACTAATAAATTTGAGATATTTTTATCAAGTTAAAGATAATAGCCATAAACACTGTACTATTATGAAATTGCTTTAACATTATGACGTCACAAGTATGCTGACCAATCATGGCGCGTTTACAGTCACGTGATATATTTTTGAATTTTATCAATTTTTAATTGTTTATAATTAATTTAAAAAAAATATTTCAAGTTTTTTGCATTAAAAATCCAATATAATTAATAATAAAGTTTTAAAATACATAAAAAAAATCAATACTTTTTTTTTTTTCAAAAACCCAATTTATAATTTATCGAAGACATGTCAATTTTTTCCGTAGGTATATGAAACCTTTCATTATTTTCACAATTTAAGAATGTAAAATCAAAACAATTAAATTAAAATTTTCTCACACAATTTTATGACGATCGCAAAAAATATAAAGTTCAAAGTCAAACCATGATTAAAGTTATTTTTAATAATAATATCTTATGTATAATATGTAAATTGATATATGAAGATTTATAAACTATTTTAAATTTAATTAAACAATATCTATAGAAAGAAATGAAACCAACATACGAACAAATATTAATGATGCTAACTAAATATGTAGAAAATATTTTTTTTACTAAATTTTATAAATTGATATCCCTACTAATATTATAAATGCGAAAGTAATTCTGTCTGTCTGTCTGTTACGCTTTCACACCTAAACCACTGAACTGATTTTAATGAAATTTGGTACATGGAAAGAGTTGACTTTGAAAAAGAACATAGGATAGTTTTTATCCCAGACTTTTGAACGGTTCTCTTGGAATCGCGATATAACCGAACTCCAAGCGGGCGAAGCTGGGGGCGGAAAGCTAGTATTAAATAAGTAGTTTATTTTATTTAATAAACTAAGATAATGGGAAGGAATACTTAAGTCATGACACTTTTAGTAATTAAGAAGGTTTACCAATTACTAACTTACTTCCTGAGATTAAATTAGGCAAAATTTGAATCTTACCACACGTATAATAATAGTTCAATGTGCTTAATCCAAGTTTTCATACACTACAAACGAAAAGTTTCCCGTTTTTCACTCAATGTTCTACGTCAATAACATAAAATAGCGTGACAATAGTAAGTTAGACTAAACAAATAAGCCTTTTTTCTAAAATTACTTATGATTCATGGAACATAAACATTTCCATTTCCATAAAATAGATTAAAGCGAAGTTCCTGTGTTACTTTAAAAAAGATAATCGTAATATAATTTTATATATACAAATAAAATAAAATTTTAATGCATGTTTGTAATATGAAAAATGCTTACACTGATTGTGTATTTTAAAAAATGTATTGAAGTGAAACTTCTTATACGACTTCAAGGTTGCGTTAAACGTTTAACGCTCTTTGGGTGGGGGGATAAAAAGGCCTAGGACCTAACCTAACCTTGTAAGTCATGTTAATAAAGTTTGTCTTAATGAAACACTAATAATTACATAAAAATCAATGTCTACACCTTCCTGTTTTAATTTCAATAAAAAGAAATCTCACTTCTTGTGAATGGAGGGACTCCACGTATATTTAATTTTATGATTTTATTTATTCAAGCTGATCATGAAAGGGTCCTATTTTGACGAAACTTCAACGATTCAAATTATTAATTTTCTTAGTTTTGACAGTACCTATTAAGTTTCAGTAACTTACTTTTTTTGGAATAAAAGCACGGGATTTTCGTATATATCGGACATATCGATTAATTTCTCCCTCCTCTTGACTTCCTCGTGTCTTTTCACCAGCAGCCAGCCGACGTGTGAATAGAAGAAGCCCCTGGTCGCATTGTGAGGATCTCCATCTGTGTCACTGTATCTTGAAGTTTAACAAAACAATAGTTATACATAGTTTGTTAATAGGAGTTTTAAAATCACAATAGTTTTAATGATATCTAAGATTTTCGCGACTATTCATTTAAATGAAACTAATATCTCGACTAACTCACATCTCGTCTTAATGATCACGGTTGCTGTAAAGTAACCGAAACCGAGTATGTAGTTTTTGATAAAAATAAAAATCGCATAGTAGGTACATCCGAAAAATATTAGTTTAATTTAAGTATCTAAGACTTTCGTGAGAATCCATTGTAATGGAATGAAATATTTTGGGGAACTACCTACGCGTCATTTTATTATCTTAAACAACATACTCCCGACGTTTCTAAAAGATTAAATTACGTTGTAATCACGTCGGCTGATACAATGTTGCTGGAAAGTAACAGAAAAGTCAGGAGTATGTAGTTTAAAATAATAAAAAATATTAGTTTAAAAAAACTAAAAAAACACATTTGTAACTAATATTTATATTATTTTTAATACGATTTATCAATTAGTTTTTGTGGACATGCGCAGATCGCATACTAGCTCTGTCCCTTTCACTCTCATAGAGGATCTATGAAAAGAATATATTAATCATGACGGCCCTAACAAGGATAATGGGAAATTGTTAACGAATTATTGCATTGTCATTGGTCCTTGAGACACATGCAAAGTTTCAAGTTAATCAGATGTTTAGAACATGGAAATCGCGCTCAAAGATTCCGTTACATACATACAGCCCAAGATAATATATGCGTGTTAATTATGCGTAGTAGTCTTAAAAAGATTGTGATTTAAAATTAAGCAAGCTAAAACTTTTAAGTATGCTATACAGAATTAGTCATAACTTTTTTTTCATTGTACATTTTCACCCGAACTCTTAATAACTTTGCAGTCTTCTTCTTCTTCTGGCAATTTCCCAGCCTTAACCAGGGTTTGCCTTACATGTTGTAAATACTTTTGGCTAAATGTTTTTACGACTGGCCGCTTGCCTGACATCAACTCTCTTTGGGAATGTATTAATCCCCACGTTTGCTCAAGACGGTTGGGTATTTCAAACTTACTTACTTCTTAATAACTTTGAAGTCATCAAAACTAATTAACTTTTAGATGTTTAGGGGAGAATGTATGAGAATGAGAAAATGAATGAGAACTACTGGCCAACAAGTATGCGTTTGTTACTTGGACATATAAAAAAACCATGATCATTTGAAGTCCAGATGCTTAAAAATATTGCAGGTAAATTCGTAGAATCTAGTTTTAAGCGTCCTCACTCACAAGTTAATTATTATCATTTTCTTTACCCAAATCTATGAGACGAAACCTCTCATCATTCAATGGATTCACCTTGCGGGTGTCGGGTCCATCGTTGTAGGGAGAGGAGCTTCAACAGTGACTGGGACTTGTGACCCAGGTGTAGGTTTAAGGGGTCCCTATCTAACGCGCGTTAAACACTCACCTCCACTGTCCAAGCTCCTCTCTCTACCTAACCGTAGAACCTATATAAGTTTTAAAAAAAGGAAATTAATTTTTAAAACTAATTAAGAATACTTATAAATATATAATAAACAGGTAAAAAACTAATTAATTTTGGAGTCCGTTAAAACTTTAAAACAAAAAGATTATCTTAATAACATATGCTATTTTTTAAATATTTGGTTTCAATATAAATAAAAACAATATAGTTTTAAAGCCATTTTACATTATTCATTATTATTCATTATAATTATTATTTATTTATATTTTATAGCTGGCAATATTTAACATGTACGTAAAAATATGTTAATGATTCATTATTACTACTTTTATTAATAATTGCTATCGTATAAATATGACGGTTTGAAGGTTAAAGGAGCAAGTCATAATTTAGGCATTTTACAATATAGTTTCTGTATCCTTAGAAATAGTTTATATACGAAACTTGACGAAGATTTATGAGTGAATAACTGTTGACGCTTCGTGTGTAGTGTAATGATGGACACTCGTACTAAGACACAGATTTTTTTATATCATAGGGAGCAAACGAGTTAAATTAAGTCAGTGGTGGCCTAGTGGTTAAAAGGCCCGCCTTTCATGCATGAGGGCGCGGGTTAGATACTGGCCCGGGCAGGTACCAATGTGATTTTTCCGAGTCATATGTACTTTCTAAGTTTAGACATCACTGATTAATGTATTCCCAAAGAGGGTTAATGTCAGGCAGGCGGTCGGTCGTAAAAACAATTAGCCAAAACTATTCACAACATGTAATGCAGACCCTGGCTATAGCTGGGAAATTGCCAGGTAGAAGGATAAGTATTCGTCATACCTGTGATGCAACCTATGCTTCTTGACCCAATCTATAACTGTGTTCTGGAAGGCTAGTGTGTTCATTAGCATTAGAATAATCTGAAGGGGCATCTTAGCTTTATACGCTCGGTGGGTCCAAAGTCTGTGAGCTCCAGCTGTTACACCGATAGACGCTAATATGAATATTATATAATCTGAAAGAAAATATTAATTTTATTATTATATATCAGAAAAAGTACTATAGTAAGACGAAACCTCTCATCATTCAATGTATTCATATGCGTGTGTCGGGTCCATCGTTGTAGTGAGAGGAGCTTCAACAGTGACTGGGACTTGCGACCCAGGTGTAAGTTTAAGGGACCTTATCTAACGCATTAAACGCTCACCTCCACTGTCCAAGCTCCTCTCTCTACCTAACAAACAATTCCGTACAGAAACCATATAGATCATCAAAATATTTTAACTTTACGAGTACTTTTTGGTTAATTTCATACATTTTTTGTCTACTTATTTAATGAGTTACGTAGTGATATTTACGAAAGAGCAAAGTCTTCCAATGTGCGACTGTAACAGCTAAGTATAGTCCATACAAGGCGGCCAGGTGTCCGTAGCTGAAGGTTAGAAGGTTGAAGTATATGATCTCATATTTCCTGGGTGATGCTTGAGGAGCAACCAGCTTCTCGAAGACATCATTATCGGCTTCCTCTGTTTTGCAGGTCATTTTCTGTTGAATAATTTTGTATTTTAATTAAATAAAGACGAAATGAATTTAATGCCATCGAAGTTTTAAGGATATAAATTTATATGAAGCATTATCAAGATAAAGGTATTCGTTTTATGATTTCAAGGCAGATTTCTTTTGTTAATAAATAATGATTAATTAGTTTTAATAACACTCAAACTATTTTCAAGTTTTATATAAAAGATAGCAGTATATGTAATATATCTCATCTTTATATATCTATACTAGCTTTCCGCCCGCAGCTTCGCCCGCGTGGAGTTCGGTTATATCGCGTTTCCAAGAGAACCTTTCAAAAGTCTGAGATAAAAACTATCCTATGTTCTTTCTCAAGGTCAACTCTATCTCTGTAGCAAATTTCATTAAAATCAGTTCAGTGGTTTAGTCGTGAAAGCGTAACAAACAGACAGACAGACAGACAGACAGAGTTACTTTCGAATTTATAATATTAGTAGGGATATATAAAAGAAAGTTGTGTTAGTTACACTATTTATAACTCAATAACGGCTGTAAGGATATGGATGAAAATTGGCGGATAGATAGATTTGAACCAGGAGACGGACATAGCATATTTATTACTGTACGAACTAAACAGAATCCAACAGCTTATAAAATTTTAATATTTAGTTATTTACGACGGCTAGAGCTGAATAGAGTTCGCCCGGTCAACTATACATATTAATTAAGCTATACATAGAAATTAAAGCGGATTAAGTCGCGGATAAAAACTAGTACATTACTAGTGTATTATAAAATTATAAAATAAGCAATAATTCTTTCTGTAAAGAAAAGAATTTGAGATCAAATATAACAAACGGATGGTAATGAAAATTCAGAAATTATTAATTTTATAAGTCCAAAACTCATTTAAAAATGCATACCCAATTTTTTCTTATTACTATTTATTTTTAAAATTTTTCCTTTGTTATTGGTTAAGATAATTACTTGTCAGTTTTTTTTTTTAGTTTTTAAAGTGAACATGCAAATAATATTATTTTATTACATATCATGTACTTGTGAATGTTGAGTTAGAATATAAAGGGGGTGTACAATAATACATGCAACATTTTATATTTTAACTTATATATATTAAGACTTGTCATCAGCCTATCAGAGCCCACTGCTGAGCAAAGGCCTCTTCTCACATGGAGAAGGTTTGAGCATCACCACGCTTGCTCAAGACGAGTTGGTGATTTCAAACTTATAATTGGAAATTATAAGTCGAAGTTTCCTCATGATGTTTTCATTCATCAGTCAGTGATGTCTAAATACTCTTAGAAAGTACGTATGACTCTGAAAAAATCACTTTGGTACTTGCCAGGATCGAACCCGCGCCCTCATTATGAGAGGCGGGCCTTTTTACCACTAGGCAACCACTGACTATCAATACTAAGATATTTAAATAAATAAATAAAAATATGTACATATATAAAACATACTTTTTATAAAAAGGGACTAGTTCTAGTCTACTTACACTAAAAAATAACTATAGTTGAAAATAGTTCAAACTTCTAAGATTTCGAGAAATCTCGCGATGTAAGTAACACACAACCGCTTGCTACTGAAAGAAAAACAATACTCTTTGAACCATATATAATTGAGATCGTTTTTAGAGTCTATAAAAACTGCTATCTTACAAGATAGTTTAGGGTTCTTTGGGATAATAAAAAGGTCTACTGAACCAGTAATATGTAAATATCTTCAATATTTAATCATATAATTTTATATTATAGAGTAATTTTAGTTTGACAAATCGGGGAGATTTAATTTTACGGACTTAAAGCTACATATGTTTTGAAATACCTACTTTGAAATTTGATATTTACACAATACAATTTTATATAAATAAATAGTCAGTGGTGGCCTAGTGGTTAAAAGGCCCGGATCTCATGCATAAGGGCGCGGGTTCGATCTTGGCAAGTACCTACCAATGTGATTTTTCCGAGTCATATGTACTTTATAAGAGTATTTAGATATCACTGATTAATGCATTCCCAAAGAGGGTTGATGTCAGACAGGCGGCCGGTCGTAAATACAATTAGCCAAAATAATTCACAACATGTAAGACCCTGGCTAAAACTAGAAAACTGCCAGGTAGAAGAAAAAGAATTTTATATAAATATATATTATGTATTTTATTAAAACGATACATATATCTAAATATGTGTTTTTTCAACTATGACATTCTAATAATATTCAAGTTTATCACGTGTACTCAGTCAAATGAAACTTAGTTTTTCGGATACTACGTTCTTTATTATTATACTAGCTTTCCGCCCGCAGCTTCGCCCGCGTGGAGTTCGGTTATATCGCATTTCCAAGGGAACCTTTAAAAAGTCTGGGATAAAAACTATCCTATGTTCTTTCTCAAGGTCAACTCTATCTCTGTACTAAATTAATTAAAACCTTTCGCATTTACAATATTAGTAGCCAGTAGGGATCTACATGATCCCGGCATTTCGTTTCAATTACAGCAACCGTGATCACTAAGACGAGATGAAATGTAAGGATGATGAAGTAAAAGTGTAAAGAAATTTCAGAAAATAAAGGCTAAGTCTGGTTTTTAATTGGTAGCAAGCACTAATTGTAATCTAAAGTTAAAATTAAGAATATTATTAGTAGAAAAACTTTCACTTTATGCTTTATAAATTTGCTTAAAATAATATCATTGTATTCTTTACAAGTTATATGTACTTTCTAAGAATATTTAGACATCACTGATTAATGCATTCCCAAAGAGGGTCGATGTCAGGCAGGCGACCGGTCATACAAAAATTGCCAAAACTATTTACAACATGTAAGGCAGACCCTGGCTAAAGCTGGGAAATTGCCAGGTAGAAGAACATTCTTTAATAATCTAATTGAACGTTAATTTTGAAGAGAACACATCAAATTATTATGTTCTAAAAATAAAATGATTTTTGTTTTTATACTAAATAATTACTGAACTAGCTAAAGAAACTATATTTATGTTATATGCTTCATAGTTGTCATTTTTATGATAATTTCCTTCAATAGGAACTAAAAAGTAATATATGTATTTAGATATATTCTTTTTAAGAGTAAAATAATCTTTAAAATCGGATCAAAAGTCTTCATTCATATACAAAAACAGTTTAAAATCATTTAGTACTATTGATAATGTAAAGTTTAAATCCAGTCCTTACATTTTCTTATACATATAAAATTCTCGTGTCAGGTGTTATACAGAGAACTGCTCCGAAACGGCTGGAACGATTTTGATGACATTTTGTGAGCATATTAAGTAGGTCTGGCAATCGGCTAACATCTGTTTTTCATACCCCCAAGTCATTGTTGTTTACCCTTAATTTTTTATTTTCGAATATTTTTTTTTGTTTTTCTTTTTTTATAATGTGACTTTAAAAAATACATACAATCCAAAATTTTTACTATTATATCACCATTCCCTATTTTTTATATGGCAAAACACATTGCCGGGTCAGCTAGTATTACAATAATAATTGTATAGGTCATAGGTAATAATTGTTATACTAAGATTGTAATTGTATTAACGTAGTAATTAAAATAACAATAAAATGTTTTCATTCTTTCCAACAATGTTGTTGATAGTCCAAGAGCTCATTACAGCCAGACCGTTTTTTTATAAAAGTTAAAAGTTCCTCTGTACGTCTCCTATACACGTAAGAACAACCTTTTCCTATTGATTCCCAAAGAGGGTTGATGTCAGGCAGGCGGGCGGTCGTAAAAACAATTAGCCAAAACTATTCACAACATGTAAGGCAGATCCTGGCTAAAGCTGGGAAAGTGCCAGGTAGAAGAAGACAGGTAAGAACTACCAGTGAATATAGAGTAACTCCTTGGTAATGTATTAATCAGTGATGTCTTAACACTCTTGTAAAGTACATATGACTCGGAAAAATCACATTGGTACTTGTCCGGGCCAAGATCGAACCCGCGCCCTCATGCATGAGAGGCGGGCCTGTTAACCACTAGGCCACCACTGACTTATGTCTTATCACACTATATACGCAGAGTAAATAGTTTAATTCATACGTCTCAAATTATAGTATTAAAGTAGGTAAACGTGAAACGGCAGACTGATCGTATGTAGTGTATCCGAACTCCTACTAAGCACTGTGACGATTGAGTAGTTATTTATAAATTGTTTCATGTCTAAAGATGAATGTAAATTATTTCTTATCATAATGAGATCTAAGATTTTCGCGAGTATTCATTTAAATTATTTATTTTTCGGATGTAAAATCACTCACATCTCGTCTAAATGATCACGGTTGCTGTAAACTAACTGAAACGTCTGGAGTATATAGTTTTTGATTCAAAAAATCGCGTAATACATCCGAAAAATATTAATTTAATTTTAATTTTTATCATATTAAAAGTATAGATACATTCAAAGAACGAAACTCATTGAGGATCATAAATCATTGATAGTGTAAAAAATGACTAACAGATTATAAAGTCGGTTAAATAAATGTTTTCTATGTAATTTTCCATTCATTATTAATGATAATTTTCATGAAGATTCATGTAATGTAATATGCTTCAGACACGCAGGAGCTAAGGGTCATCATGCTTAGAAAATGGCGTCGCCATCTTTGAATTAAATAATAGTTTCAATCGTCATACAAAGTTTTAAATCTTATTTTCAAGATTAAATTAAATGAAAAAATACATATATGTATAAAAAGCTATTCTTTAATTAAAATTAAATTAAGATTTTTGTATAAAACGTGTTTTTTATTATTTTATATTTACATAATCTTTATTTCGGCTAATTTTCAGAAACTGTAATCACGGACAGATGAAATGAAATTGTCTAGTCTGTCATGTAGATATATGTATATAGATAATAATAAAAACACGTAGTATCCGTAAAAGTAAGTTTCATTTAAATGTAAACGCGAAAATTTTATATACTCTTTACGTTAAATGCTTCATTGTATCAGCTTAGGACTAATTTATTCATTTTATAGCTAATA